GAGGAGGTTGTGTGTGCTTCGTGTGTACTGGTTACTCCCGTGCTCTATTTCAAACACGTGTCTACCTTCCGACTGTCACGTCCAATCCTGGTAGGTCAATTCGAATCGGCCGGCCGAGTCTACTAACCAGCATACGAAAACATGTAATCGCGGTGCCGAAGGTCCCTACTCTTAAATAAATACATAAATAACAGTTTCGTAAATTACATAAGTAAACGATAGGCCCTACAATTCTCGTAAGGTACTTATTTGTGTTTCACAAAGACTTCACTTAATGGATGGGGTGGCATAATTGTCCTGACTCATTGTTTTTTAGTCTTATTCTTATTTGTAAGTGTGTAATAATGTAGGATGTCCTTTAAAGGTTCAAAATAAGGGCGTTGTAAAGTACTCAAAGAAGGACGTTTGAGGAAGTCTGAAGGAAGGGGCAGATTTTTTTGGTTGTGTATTTTCAAATTCTAGCGCACTCGAGCTGGTTTCTCCATTCTTACCTACCCTACCTTTAATGACCTTTGTTGGTATTAAGTGTTTTAATCAAGAAGTGTCATTATTACTTTTATATTTTTAATATTATTATTATTATTATTGCTGTTTTGTTGTTTTTTTGTTTTCGGGTTTGTGAAACACTTTGTTGGATTTTCTGAATGCATAAAAAAAGTTAGATTTGATCAATATTGAACGCAGTCGTTCATTTCTGTTTTTTTTGTCTTTTTTTCTGCAGAAGTGGAAGCCCAAAGGCACAGCGCTGCAGCACATGGTGGGGGGGCTCTGCCTGGACAGCCAGGCCCCCGCCGGCCCCCCCATCATCACCCAGTGTCGCCCCCAGCTGGCCAGTCAGACCTGGGAGCCTCAGATTATCTCCTGAGAGAGGGGAGAAACGGGAGCATTCTAGAGCAGGAGGACTCACATCTGCAGCTCTTCGCGATCAAAGGAGGAAATCTGAACTCTGTGATCTGAATCCTGCGTATCGGAGCGTAAAGACATTTTAAAGACCTTCCCGGGGTCTTTTTGTGTACCATCCTTCGAGGATTTCTTCTTCTACGTAATCTTAAACTCTTCACGGTTGCACATCTCACTTTCTTTTTCAGTTCTGTATCTATCCTGGTCAGCAGTTTGCTTACGAGTACTGAGGGTCCCCACACACACTGATGTAGCAGAAGTGTGTGTGGAGGTGGAGCCGCTGCTCTCTCTGTGGCAGCGTTACGTTTAGCCAAATCTCTACACTAACTACAGATCTCTTTTTGTTTCTTTAAAGCACCATGCAGAGCACCGTCAGGAAACATTATTTATTGTTTTGCATGGTCAGACCCAAAGAATGTTGTTTTTCTTTCCTCTCAAAGTTTCATGTAAATATTTGGAGCTCGGTTTTGGTGTCAGTACTCTATATGTTGTTTGAAAAATAAAATGGTGGTAACAAAGGAAGTATTGATCTGGTTCTTCACCAAATACATTTGAATTGTTTTGCTGTTTGGTGTAAAATGTTGGGGATTATACATTGGATATAACCCCTGGATATGTACCATGCAATACACCAATATAACCACCATAGAAAAGTATTTCATCCAACAAAATATACCAAACATACTGATATACAGTACACCTGAACATCAGCAGGAGAGGACTCTTTAAAGTAGAGACACTACATACTGATATACACCTGAACATCAGCAGGAGAGGACTCTTTAAAGTAGAGACACTACATACTGATATACACCTGAACATCAGCAGGAGAGGACTCTTTAAAGTAGAGACACTACATACTGATATACACCTGAACATCAGCAGGAGAGGACTCTTTAAAGTAGAGACACTACATACTGATATACACCTGAACATCAGCAGGAGAGGACTCTTTAAAGTAGAGACACTACATACTGATATACACCTGAACATCAGCAGGAGAGGACTCTTTAAAGTAGAGACACTACATACTGATATACACCTGGACATCAGCAGGAGAGGACTCTTTAAAGTATATCATCCAACTAAATATATCAAACATGTAATAATTCACATTTAGAATATGTTACCTGTGCAGTGATCGTTTTGCCTTTTAAAAATTGGAATAAAGAACATTATATAAAAAAAAATAAAATAACTTTTAATATTATTATAACAAATGAAAAGATAAATACTATATAATTTAAATAATTAAATAATAAATATTAATAAAGGATCAAATATATTGCCATATTCCTCTCCCTATAAAGTTATATAATACAAAAAGATAGAAGAAAAACACTCTTTATAAAAACAAATAATGAATAAATGAATTAAATTAAATCAATTATGATACATTTAATATTTAATAAATGTAATATTAGCATAACGTAGCCTATAATCTGAGTAAACACTACAAATCGATCATAACATATATTCAGTATTACAATACTAACACGTCACTACTAAGTATAAGCATGAAAAAACATTACATTTACGCATTAATGCTTTAATAATAGTCTGGTTAAATAACATGATAATATATGTGCTTGTGTGTGTTTTTGCATATTGAGTACATAATACTAATACTTTAGTTCTTCTATTACATTTTTATTTGAATGGAGGACTTGTCGTCAGTATTGCACCAGATGTGTGGCTGAGTTTACACACAGTGACCACAAGGGGGCAGACTATCCTCACAGATCAACAAGAGGCCCTGTTTTATCACTCTGACCTTCAAGGCTGTTTGTAACAAAGACAATTGGAGTTGAGATTACATGACATGTCACATGTTAGACGCTTTTATCTTTGGATAAAAGCGTCTAACATGTGACATGTCATGTAATCTCAACTCCAATTGTCTTTGTTACAAACAGCCTTGAAGGTCAGAGTGATAAAACAGGGCCTCTTGNTTCATAGTTTCTCATTATTATTATTTTTATTTTTATCGCTCATCTTATTTTTGATTTTATTAATCTGTGTGAATCTGTGCTATCCTGTTTTTCACTCTTACCCTGTTGCTGTTTGAACTACTGAATTTCCCCACAGGGATTAATAAGAGAGGCGCGTCAAAACCCACAACCCCGATAGAGGTGGCTATTAAATTGTTGACAAGGATTAAAACGCCACCACACCAACAATATTACCAAAAATATACTGCATAAAGCAAACTATATACTTTATTTGATCTAAAACATTGATGTTTTTTCATTGTAGTAGCCTGTGAAAACCATAACAAATAAGTGATTAAATGCTACAGTATTCAGCAAACACAACTGCAGAGCTGAAAACATTGCAAACAGACTAAGTTCTACAACACCCAGTTGTCTTTGTGTATTTGTGAATGAAGCGCCATCTCATGGTTAAATCCTGTAATTGAACAAATTTGGCAACGCCCTCTAGCAATTTGGCAACACCCCCAGCCACTGGGATCCGCTGGGCTTTTGACAGGGACACACCCATGTGAGTCCTATCTGGAGTGCTACATCTGTATAACTGTATAGTATCTTAGTTATTTAAAATATAAGGTGACTAAAAATGGCAACCGTAATTTCAGTTTTGGCAACCAAAAGCTGATGCCTGGCAACCACTTTTAAAAGTTAGCGTTGAGCCCTGGCTTTCTACCAGTGCCAATCTTCTGCATAGCAGCACATGAATGAACAGAAATATATTACTGATAGAAAGTGAGTAGATACCACATATTGCCCTGCAAAGGAAATGGATTCCCCATAAGTCCCAATAGGTTTAGGTCCACTGAACTGTAGGTGCCCTCAAAAAATATGAAAGGCTCAAATATAGACAACTTCATTGCAGTCTCTGTAGTAATAAAGTAGAACCGTGTTTGCCCATGGCTGATAGAAATTCGAAAGGAATGATGAAGAAGGATATTACTGTGCTGGAGAAACACATATTGGTAGCCATGATTGAAGTTGACTTGCTATGAAAAGGACAGTTTGCGGCCGATGGAGTTCACATATCTGCTCCCCCACTAGGTTTCCTGATAGGAACTGTTCCCATTCCTCCTGATCCAACCTCCATTTGATACATTTAAATTAATAAACCAATTTGATGGTGATTTGCGGAGTAACCAGTCAATAGCTCACACAGGAATTTTGTCAGAAATGAGTCCTAAAACAAGAAAAATACCCTTTACTACTTCTGGTTGATCGAATCAAAGTCAATTATATTTTAACGTGTTTGTGTTAAAATAAGGTCGGTGGTTATCACAAGCAGAAATGTTCACATTTTGTTCTACGACATAACACATTTCAGTAAATGTCCAAACTATCTGTCAAAGATTCTGGCTAACAAGTGACTTGAAAACGACTAAACGTCATCACGGCAAATATTAGGTACCTTTAGCCTAGCGGGGATGATCCGTGACGTAGTTTGTTTATAATGTTAGCTTTTTACTTCTGCCGATAGCATTTACCCTTCAGAAATCACAAAGTTGTGTTAATATATGGAGATTATCCTGCTGAACAAAAAATGTGAAGTATCATAACATTTGTGTCAACAACCAAGCCTATTTTCTGCAATATACTCACATATATTGGGGAAATCCCATTGCGTTTTGTCGTTTTTTTAACTACATGTATTACTATGTAATGATATATTCAATATGCCCATCTGTTTAATATGGGATCCAGTTTGCCTTGTAATGCTTTCAGAATGTTTTTAGAGCATACAGCACCTTTGGGTTATTCAGGAGAAAATTGTAGAGAATAGTAAAGTAACCTGTGTTCACAGTGTCCAGACATTGAGTTTGCTTAAATATATGTGTGTGTTTAATTAATTTGTATCAAATAAATAGCAGTCTGTGTAACAAGAAGCTGGAAATATGAGAAGTGAAACCTTTGTATTTGGAGTAAGATGTGAGCGAGGGGATATCCTTATTTAGACACAGCTCAAATCTCTGCAATGCTGCAGGATAAAATGAGTGCGCGTTACACATGCTAAGGGAAATGAGTGTGCGTTCTCTATATAGGTTTATGTAAAGTTCTACTATTTCACTGCTTGAGAGCAGAGGTAATGTTTTCCTCGTTATTATTGATATTAAGGTAACTCACACGTATTACTTGTATTACCCAACTATAAACAACTATATCTTAAAGATGCCAAAAGTATGTGAAGCTGTGTGTATTAAGCTGATGGGGGAGGGGGTTGGAGAGAAGGAAGTCTATGGAATGTGCGTGTGTGTGTGCAGGCTGCCAGATGCAATATAACGACTTGTTATTGGGAGCAGTTCGTAAGAGGCACAAGATAACAATCTTGTTATTCGGAGATGGTCCGTGCCAGACACCCAGTGTGTCTGCTTTACCTCAAACTTAAGAGACTCTTGTTTCCGGGTCTCCTCGGCTGGCTCGCGCTGATTCGCTGCGACAGGTCTATTGTTTTTATATCTCCCAATAAGAGGACCCCTAGGGAGGAGCAACCAACACAACTCCTCCCCACTTGGGTGTATAAATAATATGATATTCTTATTATACGGTGCGGTTTTCTGACTGGCTGTCGTGGTACGTATTGTCACACAGTGGTAGAATTCAGCCCGGAGTGCTCTGTTACAGGGTACTCTGTATTTTGTATTGTTGTATTTTACCATTAAAACAGATTATTGTTTAACCCTTATCCTGGTGCTTTGAATTCCTTCTTTTGTGAACCAGCTCATAAAGGGACGCGCGGAGCAGAGGTGAACCTTCCCGCCAATCGATTGGGTGGTGCTCCAACAATAGTTATCTTTGTTGCGGATTGTTTCAAGAGCAAATGTGTTTATTGTATTGAATAAACAGACATTTCTTATAAAGCAATCATATTTGTCCACTCCTTTGTTGATAAGATGATCAAAAACACGTAAATATCCCTTTAAGGTACATTTAGAATATATATATTTTAATCGATTGACAGCCATAGCAAAAGCAGAAGCTAATATCTAAGTCAAGACAGTATTATTTAACAGTATGTTTATAGAAAAGCAAAGAATGTACATTCAGCATTAACATTCATACAGAACCAGACCCGGCGCCAGAACCAATCTAAAGGGAGGTCATATGATTTTCATGGGAGGGCACACAAAGCCGTCATGTGCTGCGGGCCTGCGGCACAATATATATCAAACAGCAAGGCCAACAGCATTGTGTAAAGACGCACACTTATTGCAAATACATACTCAAATAAAGGGCAACATAGAAACCACTTTTGAAACATTGTGTGCGTGGCAGCACAAACACTGGTAAATCACGAGAAAGGCACACTGGTTAAGGATGGCAGCTTCCTCATCGTTGCACTCGGAGAGAAATAGTAGAGACGGAGACGATTAACTGTTTAGCCCGCCTTGGGCATGGTTCATTTTCCTATGCACTGCAGGTGCATCCTTTCGCTCAGCCGAGCTGACTTAGAACAATATTTTGGCCAACTCTACATCTTTGTGCAGCGTATACTCAAACAGTGATAGGAAGAGCCCACTGCCTGACTCGGACATGCTGTGGAGTGAATCGTGGTCACCTCTGAGAGGGAGTTGGTTGACAGCTAAAAAAGTTATAATATCAACAACAGCTGACACGTAATAACGGTTCCGTGCCAGCTGATCTGCACCAAAGTACTCATTTCCTTATTTGTTTCCTCGCGTATCTGTCTCTCTCTCCACAAACTCTCACAAGGTTGAAAAAACGCTGACCGTTGTGCGTAATGTCCTGACTATTTCCTGACGATTCCGTACGTGCGTAGTTTTCTTGTG